ATATGCTTCACACACTCTCAGAGACACACAGAACTACTAGTAGTGAGCCTTTATTGATAGTATCTCGTACACCTAACACTGAAGCTTAGCGCTCTCTCTCTCTCTCTCCCCCTCCCTCTAGAATCACTCAGCTCCTCTCTCACTGTCTCCGTGTTGTTTATCACATGCACAACACAAGCTGTTTTGGTGACTTGTTGCCTCACACAGCCAAAGCCTTTTCTCTTGTTGATGCACTACAAGCTTATCTTACAAAGATGGCATACATGTCTATTTATAGGCTACATCAACCTGACCTTGACCTCCAAGGCTCCAAACGGACCTGAACAATACAGCTCAGAAGCAGCTAGCTATACTACTCCACCACCAGTACAAACAGCTGATTTACTACTGTCATTTATAGCTCTAGCACAGAACAAGCACAAACCAAATTGACTACTAGCCGACTGCATACTTTTCTCTACTATTAAAGGTGAACCTGCCGTTGTCGTCATGATGGTTCGACCTCATCCTTCCCACGTACAACAACCATCGACCGAAAAACTCTCAGGCGCAAGGGCCACGATCGTAGGATCCCGCACGGGGAAGAAAAACGCTGGAAAAAAGCCCCACGTAAGACTGTCCCAAAAAACCGAAAGAACCACACGTTCTCCATCTCCTCCACGATCTCCATCTCGACTTTCTCAAGATCTCTCACCAGAAAATGAACCACCCGGCGCCTCCCTCTCCCCCACATCACCAAAACTGCGGGTGGTAGTATGACCGCAATCCAATGCAAGGGTGGGGAGGGAGGTCGGGGTGGTCTGTGGTGTGACGCATGCCGAGGAAGAAGAGGAGAGGTACGCTGGCGGTGGATCAGGTCGAGGATGAGGAGGGGAAGTGCGATCCGGTACTGTGGGCAGGTGCTCACCGGAAAGCCGCGCAGATGGGCGCTACCGCCATCAACTCGAGCAGCACCGTGGCCACCATGCTCTGCCTCTTTACGCGTGACGATCTGAAGGGTGCGCCGTGTGCTCTTTTTGGTTTGCAATTTTAGTTTTAGATGCACGAGTGGCGGCGTTGCGACGCGCTGCGGCGGGTTTGCAGGAGGAGCTGCGATGCGAGGAATGGATCTGAGAGCCCTCCTGTGAGAGAAGGCGATGGCGACTCCTCGAGTGTGTGCAGATTTGGCGTGTGGTTGGCCTCGGCCTAGCGTGGCAGTGGCCCGAGGCATGCGTGGTTACAGTCGTTAGACTGTTCTCCGCCACAAAAAAGGTATACCACTTTCTAGCCGTGTCATTTGATTTTAAGTAGTCTTCAGTCACCTATTTCTGCTTTCATTTCATATCGGTATTTGTACTTTGGACCATCGTCAAACATTATGCTCGTTCTTTGGATCCTAATAATGGGCACACATTGTGGATGGCTTAACTGGCTCTATAGAGGAGGTTTGATCTGAAGTACTCTATTCTTTGTAAAGGTGTTCATTAGAGTGCAACTAATTCATTGTTTATTTGCGAGCATAAACTTGGTGTCCAAGCACCTAGAATAGACACGAAAGAAAAATATAGTGATCCGGCTCACAATGAAGGTGCCATTACTTGAGTGATATACATTTCTCTCTATATTTTAGAAGCAGCAAATTCAGTTAAAGGATACATGTTTTCTTACATTTGTTTTTCTGGTCTTCCCTAGAAGCTGAGGTTTAGTAACAGATGTCTCAGGAAATAATATGGACGGAGATTACTTGATCTTGACAAAGGCATCATCACCACAAATAAGTACTCCCTCCGTAAAGAAATATAAGAGCGTTTAGATCACTCTTATATTTCTTTAAGGAGGGAGTAGTTGATGTCATCATTCATGAAATCTGTCTAGGATGACATCAAGGAGAAATATAAGGTCTCTTCCTCGTTGTTGATGTCGGATCGATAAAAAATGATGATTGCAATGCTACTTCCTATTCAGTCTTGCCATGTTGATGCATGCAAGCTATTGCTCACTTTCGGGGCACTGTAATTACCTGCAGGAGATATACGCCGCACTTAATTCTCCAAGTACAGTCAAATTTGCAAAGCCTCTAAGGAGGTTATTTCTCTTGATGGCATGCTTTCATTGGAGATGACAATGCATATGATTTATTAGCAAAGTTCTAGGTGGCATTATTATGGGTGTATTTCGATATCCATTGTACTTGAAAATCATGGAACAACCCTGATTATTTCCCTCCATCTTGAAAGGATTTGTGGGTGTTTCCTTTTTGTTTTATATCATATATCATCAATTACATTGCTGCCGTATTATTGTGCATGCACCTTTTAGCTTTCTTGATGTGGCAGCTTGCACATGTGTTTTGGGTTACATTAAATAGTGTAGATACACCAGTGTTGTTGAATCACATCTTTCATCACACATCAGTCATCCTATTGAAAGTCAGTAGGCTCCCTTGTGTACTCAATGGTGTTTGTGTTGCAATAACTGATCAAATATTTTACCTGGATGTATATCGAGTAGGATTATACGTCTATCAAATATGATTTCAACATTTAATGAGTCGAAAAGGCCAGTGTCAGCATCTAAATATTCAGTATCCACCCTTGAGCTTGATACACGGTTTATATACTTATGTGTGTTTTCTCCTGCAGATTGGTATTACTAATATTAGTAATATATGCTTATACGCTTTTAAGGTCTCGAACATGTCCACTTCCAGAGGCCCTTGGGAATAAACTATCATTTGAGATAGCTGCTGGACTGAAAGATCGAGTATAACCATGATTCCGATTTGTCCTTTGCCAAGTAATGCCATTCCTGTATCAAGTGTAATTATACAGTCTGAATCTTTCAGTCGCATACAACAAAGTATGGTGGGAAAACTCATGATTGTAAGTCAGCACGTTATTTTGGTTCAAAAAAAGTTCAAAGTAGAAAGATAGGTCGATGGTGCATGTTCAGTACTTTCGAAAGCTACCGCATTTTCATTTGTCTGTCCTGGTAAAGATATAACCAGTTTGTTCTCCTTGGAAAATTTGCACTATGCTAAATGTTCTAACTACTACAGATATCACCTGAGATTTTTGCATTTGTTTTCTCCCATTGAGTAGTTAATAGTGCATTTTTCTGTTGCCCGATTTCCAGTTTGTGGTTATATGATGTATCCATTATTTTACATGCCTATAACTTGTAAAACTGAATGTGGACTTTGGGGGAAAATTTACAGTTAAACTTAGACCTCTCAGTCATAAATATGTACTCTTCCATATTTGCTTTCTCACTGGATCACTGAATACCATGGCATATTTCTTGCTTGTCATGGAGCAATATCATAATTTGTTCCACTGGGAAAATGAGAAAATTGGCACTATTGTCTCTTGTTTGCTGTTCTTTAGTGAGAGTTGTGTAAAATTGATTGCATCTTTCCTTGCAGGGAGCAGGACATACTCAGGCACTGTGGAAGGATTCTGAATTATTGTTTATTAAAAGCTGCAGATGATTCTGTAACTGGAAAATTTGCACTATATGTTTCTTAATTAGTCATTATCATGTACCTTAGCAGGGAGTAGTAGATGGATGACATAAAATAGATGCGTTAAAGTAGTTGATTCTTTTCCCCGAAAAAAAATGTAGTTGGTTCTTTTTTGGTGATGTAGAGCTAAAGCAACCTATAGACTGGTAAACATTTTAAATCACGAAGTGGATCTTGTACTTTGTAAAATGAGATTTGCACAAGCTGAGAGCTGCATTGCTGAGATATTCTCCTCCCCCACCAGTTGGTATAGTGCTGAATCCAGGGGAGAAGCAGAATAGAAAACCCTTCTCTTGAGCGCTGACCAATAGATTAGTTCCTCTTTTTTAACTACTAGCAGATAAGGCGCTTCCTATACATGAACCAGATTCTTGCACTCTCATGTTGATCCTTATTGTTCTTCAACACTGGGATATTTTTCATCTTCATCTTACATGCACTTTGGACATAACGACATTATGTATTTTGTTGTAACGCATTGGCATGAGGAATACAGAATTAACATTGATATTCATTCTCAAGTTTCCTTAGAAATCCAATTTCAATAGGATCCCCATGCCTCATTAGCCCCTGCGGATCAATTGCAGTTGAGCAAACACGAATGAAAACGAGCAGGTGTATAATATCCCATCATCTCTCGCAATATGCGAGGACCATTTCATATATTTTCTAAAGTTCTAAACAGGTGCCAAAACCATGGTAAAACAAGATGAACTTTTTTTGAAGTGACGACAGTGTGCTTGAGCAGGCGTAGATGAAGAGAATAGAAAATGAAGGAAGGAGGGACAGGAAGGAAGATGTTGCTTAATCTTCTTACAAGGAGAGCGTGGTTAAGATGACATGACAACCGCCTAGGAAATAAGCGAGAGATAGTTATTGCTATATGGAAGGAAACTATACGTCGTCATGCTCAACACACTTTCAAATTATAACATTTTTATCACTTTGTGTATATATCTTGTTATCCCGTGGCAACGCACGGGCATTAAACTAGTACTAGGTAAGTGTTGGCCTGAACCGACCTATACTAATGCCTAGTTAATTAAGCACAGCACACAAGGATTATATCTAACATTCTCCCCCTAATCCTTGCGTGCTACCTTGGCCATTCCAGTCCTTGCTTTAAGCTCGTGACTAGTCACGGCACCAAACCATGCTTTATCAGCCTCACACTTAACTCTTCTTTATGATGACATCACACCACTGCCACCGGCTTCACACCAACTATCTATCGGCATCACACGGATACACTTCCTGTGACAATGGCATCACACCGACCCCGCCTAACGATAGCTTCACTCCACCGTCTTTGTTGGCCTCACGTCCACGCTTCATATGACAATGGCATCACGCCACTGTCATTTGTGCAGAGTCCCTAACGGCATCACATCGCCAGGAGTGCACTAACCTCAACTCTCGCAGGAGCAAGAAGTGCTTTGTGTTTCTTCTCTGGACACTCATAAGTATAATGTCCAAAGTCATCACAGTTGTAGCACTGCACCTCGCTTTTATTTTGCGTCCACGGCCACGGCCTCCCATCATGAGAAGTTGCTCCTCTACACCACTCGGCTCCAGCCCCTTGAGGAGCTCCTCATGCGCCTTGAGTGACCCAATGGCCTCCTCCGTGGCCATCTTGTTGATGCCACTAAGCAGCGCAATCGATGAAGCAACAAGGATGAATTTGTTGGAGACAGCTCGCAACAGCTTCTTCACAACATACTTCTCCATCGGGTCTCCAAGCTCACGAATATACCCCACAAGTGTCGTGAATTTCGCCGCAAAATCATCCATGGACTCTCCATCAGTCATCTTGAGGTTATCAAACTCCGAGCATAAGGATTGAATCCTTGCTTCTCGAACACGCTCTACACCCACATGCATGGAGCATAGCGCTGCCCACATATCATAGGCCGGTCTCCTTCTCTCCAACAGGCGGCAGCGGCGCGTCGACGGTTGACTGGGACATATTTGTCAAGGCCAGCTCCTGCATGCTCTCGTCAACCTCCTTGGACGAGCTTTCGGGATCAATGGCATCCCATGCACCATTTGCTTGCAAGAGGTACTTCATCCTCATCGCCCATGCTGCGTAGTTGGTCCTTGTCAGTACGAGAATGTAATCCTCCCGGTTGCACTCTCAGACATACACACACACACAGAACTACTACTAGCAGTGAGACTTTATTGATAGTATCTTACACACAGCACTAGCAGTGAAAAGCTTAGCCCTTCCTCCCTCTGTTGGAGCTCCCTCCCTCCCTCCCTCCCTCCCGAAAGCTTGGAGAGCTCCAACAGAGGGAGGAAGGAGCTAAGCTTGGAGAGCCGCTACCAACAACCGTGCCTCAGATTGGACCCAAGCTGGGTCATCTCCACGTCTGCGCACGTGATCTAGAAGCCTGGTGCAGACGCAATCCTGCGCGCTCGCGCGTACTCCAGATCAGTCCCGCCTCCATCAGAGTCGCCGCCACATGTGTCTACTGCTGCTGTAGCTGGCTGGTGCGCCTCGCCGCTCGTGGATCCCG